TTAAAACAGTTGCCGATTATAATTCCATGATGCTCAAAATCATGTCCCAGTTAAGATTTTGTGAAAAAAATATTACTGATAGGGATATGTTGTGATCTTATTACTTGTCTATGTTGCTGAACAGAATAACGAATTATTATTAAAAAATCACGAATCGAGGCCAACTGGTGCAAGTCCATTCCCTAAAGTAAATGCGACTCAGTGTTTAAATAATATGCCTAGATTCTACCGCGGACGAGGTCACGGACAAGGCAGTGGACGTGGAATGAGTCATGGACGTGGAGCCGACCGTAGACGTGGTCGTGGAAAGTTTGTTTCGCATTACTACTGTCACAGATATTTTGATGAACAGGAATCAAATAGGCCTCTGAAGAGGCCTCAGAATGATGTTGGTCAGAGTTCAAAGAAAAATGAGGATAAGTGTTATCGGTGCGGAATAACAGGACATTGGTTCAGAAATTGTCGTTCCAATTCTTATTTTGTTGAGCTGTACCAAAATTCCCTAAAACAGAAAGATAAAGTACCTGAAGAAGTTAAAACACCGGAAAATGTCAATCCCCCAGAAATTAATTTCTCGGAGAACATTGCCAGTGGTAGTGGGGGTGAGAAATGTAATGATAATACGCAGTTAGATGTATCTGATTTTCTAGTACACCATGAAGGTGGATACTATGAAAATCCGGAAAGTGTGATATAATAGTACACGTATAGATATGTGTATATATTTTTGTAACATATGTAGTTTTTGCTCCCTATATTTTATAATGATATGACAACTATGTATTTTCTTCAAATTTTTGATATATTTATTTTTATATTTCTCTCAGAAGAAGAAATATGAATGTTGAGCACGTTATAATGAATAATATGGAAGACAATTCATATCTCATTGATAGTGTATCAACGCACACCATTTTGAAATATAATAAATATTTCACCAACCTGAAGTTGGAAAAAATTGAAGTGAATACTATAAGTGGTTCTGCGAAGTTAATTGAGGGCTCTGAAAGAGCAATAATATTTCTCCGCGAAGGAGTAAAACTTATATCCAAAATGCAATATATTCTAGTAAATCTCAAAGAAATTTGTTGAGTTTTAATGATATTTGCATAAATGGATATCATATTAGGACATCAACTAAGGCAAATAATAAATTTTTGTTGATTACAAAATTCATTGATGGACATAAATATATATTAGAAAAATTACCTTAATTGTCTTCCGGATTATATTGTACAAAGATTAATGTGGTTGAAACATATCTGGTAGATCAGAAGTCTACAGATTTTATGATTTGGTATGACCGATTTGGGCATCCCGGTAATACTATGATGAGAAAAATTATTGAAAATACCTATGGCCATAGCTTGAAAATTCAAATGGTATTAAATACAAATGAGCTTAAATGTGTTGCTTGCTCAAAAGGGAAGTTAAGAACTAGACTATCACCAGCAAAAGTGGGAATTGAATCCCTTTCATTTTTAGAACGAATTCAGGGTGATATATGTGGGTCTGTAGATCCATCATGCGGACCATTTCGATATATTATGGTACTTATCGATGCATCTACTAGATGGTCGCATGTGTGTTTATTATCCACCTGCAATTTGGCATTTGCGACGTTGCTTGCTCAAATAATTAAATTACGAGCTCAGTTTCCAGATCACCCAATAAAGAAATTCGTCTTGATAATGCTGGTGAATTTTCATCTAAGATATTTGATGATTATTTCATGTCTATTGGAATTGACATTGAACATCATGTACCTCATGTACATACTCAAAATGGTATAACTGAACTGCAATTAATTGTAAGACATATGCTAATGAAATCCAAACTTCCCGTATCTGCTTGGGGATATACAATTATGCATGTAACAATACTGATAAAATTAAGACCGACAAGATATCATAGCTATTCCCCAGTACAATTAGTGTACAATGAAAAACCCAATATTTCACATTTGAGAACTTTTGGGTGCGTAGTTTATGTACTAATTGCACCGCCCCAACGTACAAAAATGGGCCCCCAACGGAGATTGGGGATATATGTTGGGTATGAATCACCATCTATCATTAAATATCTTGAACTGTTAACTGGTGATTCGTTTACGGCTCGTTTTGTTGATTGCCATTTTGACGAGTCGCATTTCCCGACATTAGGGGGAGAAACTTATCCACTGAAAATAAGAAATTACATGGAAAATACCATTCAGTTTTCTTGATCCTCGTACAAGTCAAAGTGAATTACAGGTACAAAGAATTTTACATTTGCAGCGAATAGCAAATCAGTTGCCTAATGCTTTTTATGTCGCCAGCAGGGTCACTATATCTTATATAGCTGCTGAAAATGTACCTAGTAAAATTGTTATTCTTGGAGACAAAATACAAAGTACTAATGAATCAAATGTACGCCTGAAGCGTGGCAGACCTATAGGTTCTAAAGATAAAAATTCTCGAAAGAAATGATGAACAAATGAAAGTGTTGAGGATTTGAATGTTAGTCAAAATCCTCAAGAAACGGGTAGTAACATGGATCAGATTTCTAAAGAAATTGATCCTGATAAACTTGATGAAGATGTTAATCCTAATAGAATTTCTCCTAAAGAGAATGAAATTATTGAAAATTCAATAAATTATGTTACTACTGGAAAGCATTGGAACCGAAGTGATACAACTATGGATAATGCTTTTGCATATAATGTAGCACTTGATCTAATGGAAAATGACGATGATCCAGAACCTAGATCAGTTGATAAATGTGGGAAAAGAATAGATTGGGAAAAGGGAAAGATGCGATCCAGAATGAATTAAATTCACTGGCAAAACGGAAAGTTTTTGGACCTATCGTTCAAACACCTGAAGGTGTTAAGGTTGTTGGCTATAAATGGGTATTTGTTCGAAAGCGAAATGAGAATAATGAAATTGCCATATATAAAGCAAGACTTGTTGCCCAAGGTTTTTCACAAAAACCTGGAGTTGATTTTAATGAAACACATTCTCCAGTAATGGATGGAATAACATTTCGATATCTTGTCAGTTTGGCAGTACATGAAAATTTGGATATGCGTCTGATGGGCGTTGTAACTGCATATTTATATGGCTCATTGGATAGTGATATTTACATGAAAATCCCTGAAGGATTTAGTATGCCTGATACATACAAATCAAAGCCAAAAGAATGTTATTATATTAAATTACAAAAGTCTTTGTATGAGCTAAAACAATCTGGTCGCATATGGTATAATCGCCTCAGTGAATTATTATTGAAAGAAAGATATGTCAATGATTCTACTTGTCCGTGTGTTTTTATAAAGAAATATGAGAGAAATTTTGTGATAATAGTTGTTTATGTGGATAACTTAAATTTAATTGGAACCCTTGGAGAGGTCCAAGAAGCTATTGGATATTTGAAAATCGAGTTTAAAATTAAAGATTTCGGGAGAACAAAATTTTGTCTTGGTCTACAAATTGAACATTTGGAAAATGGAATTTTGATACATCAATCTGCATATACCCAAAAGGTATTGAAACGATTTGCAATTGATAAAGCACATTCATTGAGTACTCCAATGGTCGTTAGAACTCTTGATCCTATTAAAAGATCCTTTTAAACCAAAAGAGGAGAATGAGGAAGCACTTGGTCCTGAAGTACCATATTTAAGTGTTATTGGTGCACTAATGTATCTGGCTAATAGTATTAGACCAGATATAGCATTTGCTGTAAATTTATTGGCTAGATTAAGTACCATATTTAAGTGTTATTGGTGCTCTAAGTATCTGGCTAATAGTACTAGACCAGATATAGCATTTGCTGTAAATTTATTGGCCAAATTTAGTGCAATGCCAACACAACGACATTGGAAAGGAATCAAACATATTTTTTGTTATCTCCAAGGATCTATTGATCTCGGCCATTATATCCAAAAGGATCTCGACATAAATTGATTGGAAGGATATATCAATGAAGATAGAACGAAACATATTTCACCGAAATTTTTCTTTACTCATGATCTCCATAAAAATGGTGAAATAAATGTGCAGCAGATTCGATCAGACCAAAATTTAGCAGACTTGTTGACCTAGGCTTTACCTACCGCAACGTTCGAGAAATTAGTAAAAATCATCGGGATGCGTCGGTTGTAAGATTTCAAATGATGTCCACATCAGGGTGAGCGATATTTCAAGTGATGTCCACATCATGGGAAGTATTTTTAATGCATAAATGGCGTACTCTTTTTCCTTGACTAGGATTTTTGTCCCGTTGAATTTTTTCCTAATAAAGTTTTAACGAGGCATATACATTGCAATTAATGACAAATAAAGTTTTAACGAGGCATATACATTGCAATTAATGACACTTAAAGGGGAGTATTATGATATATACGTGTCAAATAATTAGCAAATAATTAGCAATAAGTGTCTTACATTTTCATAGTTGTAGTGAATGGCTATATATAAGCCATGGTTATTCAAATAAAGTGATTGAATTTTATATCAATATCTCTCTATCGTCTCTCAATTTCTCTCTCTAGATTATATATAGATACTTTATTATATATCTATATATATATATATATATTACAATATCTATATTATTATTAGTAATAGTATTTTCATATTTTGGTATATATTTTATAACATTAAAGACATTTTAAAACAGCCACGCCTATTTAACCAAGGTTGACCACCTATTACAAACCCCCGCACACCCTCACATACTTGCCCTCACCCGGAATCAGAATCGGAATCTAACATGGGTCATAGCCCGTGAACAGATGAATAAATACAAAACTATTAGTTTAACCTTCAACCAAATATGAACCATAGAATATGAGTCGATTTATAACACAAACACTTGCCATTAAGTTTGGCTAGTGATATAATATGAAGCAGCAGTCGGTATAGCGACAATCATCAACTGAAAAGCAACCGTGTCAAACCTGATGGATGGATGGATGATATATAGAAGAATGTAGTTACTTCTTTGGAAAAAACAAAAGAAAGAAAAAGATACACATAACTGCTTTCAATGCTTTGTCATTCTATGATACAAAGAAGGCCAAGGCCATCAACATTAGTCCCCCACCCCAGCCAGCCAGTTAAAGAACCAAAGTAGATGACACCGTCAAAGACCAGACACTGTTTCTCACCGAGCCCCACATATATGATATATATATATATATATTCTGTGGTCTAAGAAAACAACTATGACCCAACCAAAAGCCAGGAAGGCCCTAGTAGTTGTCGGCACCTGCACCAGGAATTTAGCAGCAAAGCTTTGGATACAACTCACTCCAGGAAGAAAACAAAGAGTAAACCTTAGGAATGCACAACTCCTACACCATTTCGGGTATTGCCACATGAACAGAAGTTCATTTTCATATATGCAGGCAGGTGTGTTTTTGTGTTTGCATTTGCGTGTCATTTGAGGTGTGGTTTCATAGCAACCTGAACAGACAGACACACAGACAACAAATTCAGATCTCAATCATCTTCATAATGCATGTTAATGAATAATGCAATACTAGTATGTCTCAACATAGACAAGCATATTGAAGGCCATAATAAAAAAATATGTAGAATCAAGAACGATATGAGACTGCACAATAACCTAACTCCAATACTACACATGGCGCTATATCGATAATCATACATTTATTACTATTAACAAAGTTTACAAAGATAAAATATAAACTAATCATATGATCAAGAAGAGAAACCAAGTCAGTTCCCAGTGTCAGATGAGTTGCGGTAACTCAAAAATATAAGAATCATGAATCAGTGACCGACCTCTAGCCAAACAAAACAATAAGAGAAGGCATTTATATGTTTATATAAGATATATATACATGTATATATACATATATTAGAAACTAACCATTGTCAAGCTTACAGAGCAGAAGACATTGCCTTTGATCAACAATAATCAGCCTTCTAAAGCAAACGTCTCAACCTTCAACCAAATATGTAAGAGTAGATACATCATAAAAGCAGCTACAATCAAAATCATGCCTGGTACTTGACAATGCATCAAAGTGCCTTGAAATGTACATTAAATCATTAAAACACAATAAAGGCTGACATCCAGATGAATTTCCAGACAACATGTTAATAGACTCGAAATATGAAATTTAATCAATTAAACTAAGGAAACAAAGTTTCTGTCTCAGTAAAAAGCATAAATAAAGCTTCTAAATAATCATGCTTAGTAACAATTTTGTCAGGTTTATGTAAAGATCCATCCATAGTAATTGAAAGTATAAGTAAATTACCAACATATATTTATAGCATAGGTAAAGTAAGCAAAGAGAATACCTCAAATCTGCTGTCATCAGTACCACAGGATCCCTCGTTACTAAATCCGTGGGATTCATTGCAATGAAGAATCCTAAGTTTTCCTTCCTAGAGTATTCAAAAAGAAAAAAATAAGGAAAAACAATAATCAATAAACAAAGTAAACGCACACAGGAGGAACCTTTTCACTTACTTTGGTGCCATATACAAAGCCACCGCCTATTGAAGGATGGAAACACGCTACATTAACCTCGTCCTCTGCACTTGGAAGAACTCTCACAAGTTCCATATCAAAAACTCTATAAACCTGTAAGGCATATGCAGATTCTCAGCAGGGTATTGACTGTTATACAAAATAAAATTGCACAATACTGAGAATTTACATATGGATCATAAACTTCAATCATGCTCCAATCATTAGAAGAAATGATGATGTACATAGAGCTTCATTTACTAGCATTATTCAAAGAGGATCACCTCATTTGTATATCTTCAAACTCTTACTCAAGTATATGCCACAAAATCATCAAACTTGCTAAATAGACACATTTGATACCACAACACATCTCCAGAAACTAAAGGAGTACGTAGAAATGTACTATCAGAATCCAGGAACAACTGACCACAGAACAAACTTACCATCATTTGGCCACTAGACAGTTACTCCAGAAATAAAAAATTAATAGCTGCTTCCACAAATAGGAGTGATTTCTAAGGGAAAATAGCATTACATTGCATCGACATTTATCAAAATACAATAAAATATGTTGTGTTATGTTTATAACATAATAGTTCTCTACAGTGTTGTCATGGTGACGCCATGGCATTCTGGCGCTTTTTGGGAAGCACCGGGACACATTGCCTCGCCATATCAAACAAGGTGGCTTGAAGATGCCTTGGCGACGCCTCATAAAACGCCATTGCGCTATCCCGGTTAGCCCAAAACATTGTGAGTCTCCAGCCTAGGTTAGCCCAGGCCCCCAAAACCACACCTACCTCGGCCCCTAAACCTTTAAGCCCCGATCGAACCCTAACTCGCCATCCTTTCTCTCCCCCTTGCTCTCTGCCTATCATTTTAGACTTCCAACATTATAATCTTAATGTTCTTTACCATTCTAGACTCAGACTTTGCTAACTCTGGTAGTGCTATTTTGTCATTTATGCTATCTTAGTAACATAACATTGCATTATTATGCATTTTTGTTGTATAATTATTTATTTTTTTATTTTTGTTTGTCTAGTTATTTAGGGCGTGTTTCTTTTGCACCAAACCACTACAATTTTACCATTTAAACTCGTATTTTTTAAAAAAAAATTATATTTTTTCTCTTATAAAACATCCCATCAAACATTATTTTAATACTAAACCCAAACTAAAATTTTCTACACCAAATTAAAAGAAACACACCCTTAGTATTTAATATTTATAACACATAATAATATATTATATAGTGTGCCGTGTTCTCCATTTTGTTGCCATAGCGGGCGCCATGTCACCATGGCTGTACACAGGTGCCGCGCTGCAAAAGGCGCTATGCCGCAAAAGGACGCCGTAACAACCTTGGTTCTCTATGTTATTAAATATGTTGCATGAAATGTCCATTATTAGATTAGTTTTAGGATCATACAGGATGTCATTAGCCATAAAATTAAAACATTATATATTAAGCTATTTAAACATAACAAGGAAGAATTTCTTACTATTTACCCTTCTTTAAATGATGACTACATCAACCTATCTATTGAGGTTTGTGTTGGCACAGGCTCTCAATGAAGATATTCCATACAAATCCTCTGTTAAGCTAACTTCTACAACTTCGAAAGTCAATGCATTCATAACCACTCGAGACAGACCGGGGTGGAAACCAAAACACCCAACAATGTATTCTAATCTTTTTTATGCATAAGTTCAATATGTAACAATTTTTTTCACCAATTTAAAGTGTTAATTTTTTACCTACGGAAAGTGAAAAATGAAATTTAGAAACTAAAAAAAATAAAATCAGAAAACCGACATCATCTAACCTTCATGCATATCATATTTAGGCACATTTGCTTTCACTCTCAAGAAAAATTTAATTATCTCATACTCTACAAAATGATACATGCACTGAATGCGTTTCTATAAAATGTAATTTTGTAACCAAATGATTAACTATTTTAGATATAAGGATAGTGTATGTTCTTTTGCGTTTTTTAAAGATATATATTTTTAATATTTAATCTTCAGTTAATTTCCTTCTTAAGTTTATTTTCCCGAATCTTTAAACAATTCAATTTCTCTAACAAAAATAGCATCTAACATATTTCAATACAAAACATGACATCTAACAACTATTTCAACTCAATGCAACAAAACAAAAAACACACACAAAAAAGAACGCCTCCCCACAAAAATCACATGTACCATCTATTTTAATACAAAATATCACATCAAACAACTATCTTCACCTTAAAAATATCACAATAAAAACCACTAAATACACACCCATGTATTTTAATTTTCTCATAATATGATATATATATATACATATAATAAACTCCATATATATTTATATGTTTACATTGATATTCTTTTTTTCAATTTCTCTAATATACAAAAGGCCCACAAGTTGATGAAAGAGGATGATGTGTGGCTTATAGAGATCAAAAGAGAAGTTACAAAGATATAGTTCTTATTAGTGGGTGGACTAACCATGAGTCACTGGTAAAAAAGCTACAGCTTTCTACAAGATAATCTACCAACATTATATGGAAAACAGATTAGAAACAAGGATATCTTGAAGTACAAGCCAGTACAAGAATTGATGGTAGAAGAATAGTCAAGCAATATCCACATGTGTTGGTTGTTATGGACAATGCAATGATGATGTCATAAACAAAACATCAAATATATTATATGGATTGTGGTCAATAATTCACATACGACCATGTATGGGGAGAGGCCATGAGCTATATGAACAAAAATAGAAGGAAAGCCACTATATTGGTAATATTGTTGGCAAAACATCTCACACAAGTTAAAGTAATTTGAAGAGAGCTAAAATAAATTAAGTTATAAATATATCTGTCAAATTCAAATCCAACAACACCTTATCGCGATGGAAGAAATTAATTCCATCCTATTTACCTCAAAAAACATGAAAAATGAAAAACTCACAAAAAAAGAACGACAGAACACACTTAGTTGTTGAAGAAAATGTTTTGAATCGAAGAGAGTGCCCTTATTGTTTTTTTTTTTTGTGAGTTATTTGTTTTTTTTTTTTTTTACCACACAAAATTCCCAATAAGAACATACATATTTTCCATCATCCAACATTTATCACCTAAAAAAACACAATTAACACACCTTGGGCTTTTGACATAATATTCTAAATTAAAATTAGGTGCAGGATATATATTATGTTAAATAGTGTGAAAACAATATTAGAAACATGGGTTTGCTCACTTAGTGTTTTTGAGTGACACGATTTCTCAAAAACACTGTTAAATAAATATAGGGTGTGTTTGTTTGGAAGTATGGATTTTGAGTTAGGATTTGAATAGTAAAAAATTTTGAATTTGAATAGTTGTATGATGTGATATAAATAGGTATTGATGTGATGTTTTGAATGTAAAATTAATTTTTAGTATAATATAAAAAATAAAAAATAGGTGTTTGATTTGATGTTTTTGAGGGGGAAAAATTGGATAAATAGTAGAAAAAAAATCCAATCCCTCAAACAAACACACCCATACTATACACACATTAGCATAATGTATAATACTCCCTCCGTCCACTACTAAACTTTTCATTTTCCATTTTAGTAGGCCATATCAAAACATCGTATTTCTATTTTTAGAAAAGTAACTCTTAACCAAATACCAAAATACTCCTACTTTTTACTAGACATTTTATTATTTTATTACACTATATATCTATAAAATACTAATTTACCTTAATCAGCGCGCAAAATTCAAACAAGAAGTTTACAACCGGAGAGAGGAAGTATATATATATACTTTATCCACTTACAAAAAGTCAATAATTCAACACAAAATATTAATTTTTATATTACCAATACAATTCCCTATACCTAACATAAAAAATGCATTTACCCAAAAACAAAGTGAACAAACTAATTAGTCAAATGGAATCTAATATTTAGAAGCCATATCACATATGAGTCACATTACAGAGCTGAGAACAGAAGTTGTAAGTAAAATAGTGAACCGGTGCCAATAATTTATTCAAATTAAGATTGAAGAATGAGATGAAACTCTAGTGCCTAAGGACAAAAGGTTGAAAACCACTTTTCTTTAATAATTATTAAAATTACCCTTAGATCATAAATTTAACTCAACAATTATAATTTATAACTAAATTTTTTCTTTTCTGTAATCAAAGTTAACGGTTGTACACAGTTTTTTTTTTTTTTTTTTTTTTTCATTTAGATAACTATGTGGTTTTAGAATTTATTATAAATCTGAACTGTATTTTTCAGCTACATTTTTTTACAATTCAATCTTTTATTCTCTCTAAAAACATCAAATCCAACAACTATTTCACATACATAACTTCATATCAAAATCAAATAACTATTTTCATCTAAAGAACATCAAAACCATAAACATAAAACAAAAACACAATTCTGGTAAAGCTGGCCTATGATTCTTTTTGCCACATCAGCTATTGCCTTATTGCAGAGGAGAAATGTACTGGACTAAAATGTTTGATATTTGATATTCAGGAAAGCTAACATAAATACAAAATCTTGATAAATGAGCCAAGCAAGTCAAAGCAATACAAATAACTTAAATTGAATACTGGAATATTAAAAACAAATGACCGCATGAGCAACAAGATGGTGTGTAGAAAAAGATTCTAATAATCTTACCTCAAGAATCGTATAAATTGGTACTGTTGAATCTCCATCAATCACAACACTTTTAAGAAGTGAACTGTGGCGCCGACCATATGCGAGTAACAGATGCTCAGAGGTAGGTGAAAACTACATTTGCAAAGAATTTCAGATGAATAGTAAGCCAGGATTTACACCATGTACTCCAATGATGGTAGTATCTAATTCACTAACCACACCATACCAGTATATCATCATTGATTACATAAGAATATTTCAATAAGACAAGCGGGAAACTTTAGAAACAGTGAACATAGTAAAGATAAAATGGCATCTTTTGTAAAAATATACATAATACTATTTTGTAATCAAATGCTTCAGTAAGTCAGCTTGATTTATCAAAGGATTATAATCAAACGTCCTACTTCCTAGTGAACAAATTTTTTGGTAGTTCGCTGAAAGAACCAATGCTTGAATACTAATTTTAAAAATATTTTATTTTCAAGAAAGAATATCCCATTATCCAATTAAGAATGAAGTGTTTAAAGCTAACATGCCCCAAATCTGATATCACAAACCTGAATTGAAGTCAAACAATGAGCTGCCCTGATGGCCCGCGAGGCCAAAACAAAACCAAAACTGTACAAAGGAGAACCTATATCAGCTTAGATGAAGGATACCACATAGCATAATCAAACTGCATTACTTGCAAGGATATAAGAAATAGGACTCACGTAGCCTCTTCAAGAGAATATATCCTTAACTCATACATAACTTGGTGGGCTGAAATTGGATGTCTAGTTGGAGATGTTGAGGCCGCCGTAACATCATGATGAGCCTGGCCATTCAGCCCTGGATCAGACTCAATGTTTGGAAGGATGCATGCTACACAAACTGCTAAAAATCTTCCACATGGTGAAAAATGGGCACCCATTTCACTGTAAAGTTATATGTAAACCATAAGTAACTGATGCAAATAAGTAATAAGAAATAAGATAAAGGAAAAATATGTTTAGAATTAAACCAGATACAGCTAACTTTATGTAACCACCTACGTAGGACAAGACTCAGATACTTTCAAGTGAAAACTTAAGTATTTTTAAGCCTATCTCTGTCCATTGCATGAAACCACTCCCCAACAAGAATTTCTATTAATAGTAAACTCATCATACCTACAAAGTACAGCATGAGGAATTGTCAAGCGACAACGATGTGTGTCAAGAGGCGCACAAGGATTTTTCAGATCATGAGACCATATTCTAAGCTTCACGGTGCAAGGTAGCTCCGCAGCTGCAGCTGCAGCCAATGAGTTAGCTACCTCGGATTGAACTTGGTTCATAAAAGGCTGAGCGTTAGCATCCGAGGGAATGCCATGAAAAGTTGCACCATCACTAGATCCTGCGATGGATCTCTGGCGGGAGCGTGAAGATCTCTGTCGTGAACCAATTCTTTCAAAAATTCTGGAAATACCAACATCCTGAAATGCTGGAGGATTTACTGATGATGGGTTCCCAATTGCAGCATAGGATGACAAACCTTCAGTCATCCCTCCATTTTGTGACTGGATTGCATATTGGCCAGCTTGGCTTTGACCAATCAACCATCCTTGTAGAAAGGGAACCTCCCAGTACTCGGGATCACTGAATGAAATATTTTGATTGCTCCCCTCCTCTTGCTGTACATCTGTCTCCATAGGATCCACAGCATGTTGAGAAATACTTCCATCCATCTCCCTGGTTAGGGAATTAATTTGTGTCTCTTCTCGAACAGGAGATTGAATTGGAGACAGTACAAGTTCATACTGGCCAGAAGGAGTTGAATATGTGAGAAGCCGCACAGAGGTGGATGATTCCCGCCTTGGTTGTGGAACACTGGAGATCACGTCTGCATCAGTCTGCTGGGAAAGCAAACCCGTATCAACCCTGCCTAATGAAGGCCAAACTAGAAATGGTATAGACATGACTGGCAGCTCATTTCCTGAATTTGGCCTACTAGTGGAGTGAGGATCTGCCAGATAGATTGTTGGAGGGGGGTAGCGCAGGTACCCAGGGGAGGTTGCAAGAGTCATTGAAGGGTCTGACGAATCAAGATCATTTACCTAAAAGAAACAACACAATGAACCTGATGCACTTAGAATGAAAGCCTAACAACCATCGGAACTGTACCTCGGCCGTTAAAAGAAATGGTGCTCCATGTGGATGGAAATGAACTGCACGGAGGGATCTCCGTGTCTTCAATATTATTGTAGGTGAGGAAGCATCTCCTCTCCTATTGTAGTGCCATATATAAAGCTGCGAAGCACCAACGATCAAAGAAACTGCAGCTAAATAATATTTATCAATGTTAAAGGTATTTTCTGAAATGCTAACCTTATGGCCTGATGCTACAGCCAAAATTTCACCTTGAGCATGAAAGGCAATTGAAGCTATAGGACGATCTACATGGATAGGAGTTACAAGAAACATTAACAACAGATATTTAGCAAACTTATCAAGCCAATGCAAGCATCTCTTAAATTACAAATGTACAAAGGAATTACAAAAATCTCGGGATCCAATACACTCTGCAGTTGTTGCATCCCACAAGCGAACTTCATGGTCCAAACTTCCACTTGCAAGAATTTCAGGATAAATTGGATGAAACCTAACCTGTAAAAGATCCATCAAAAAATCTGGACTAAACAATTTCCCCGATTTGGCCCAAACAGAAACCACTTGAAAATAAACTACTGCCATGAGTCCAATGACTATATAATAATTTCCCAACTTATTTCGCATTTAAAGTTGTTGCATTTAAAATTTAGATCTAATTATCTAGCACACTAGAAGGATAGTAACAAACCACCCAAGGCGTCCTCCGATGCCCACTGAGGACCTTCAGGCATTGTCCAGTTTGACAATCAATTATCTTCACTGTATGGTCACCACTGCCAACACCAATAAAAATCATATAAATTCATATAACATACCAGAACTTTTACATAGACATACACATCTGCAAATTCATCTTATATATGCATGTTTGTGTGTTGGAAAAGGTTGCATAGACTAACTGGGTAGAAGCAAGTTTCTTTCCATCAGGACTAAATGCTGCTGCAATGGTTGACCTTGGCGGAGGCACTAAGGGACAATATTTGGCTGATAAGTGTAACAGTGACTTTGCCTCTACCCTGTAATTCAGATGAAGATACGAGTTAATCTGTCCAGTGGCATAATAAAACCAGTGAATTGCATTAGATAAATTAGAATAATATATACCAAGAACGAATCTCTTGCCGTGCATCCTTTGCCAATACATTTTTCATTCTAGAATTACATGCCTTTCCCCAAAATTTTTTGGGAGCTCTCTTCGTTTGAGGAGATAACTCTCTCTGGACCAGCAATTTAAAGACATTACTGCAAGAAAAACACATCATGTCAAACCAGTAGATCTAGTTACATCAAGATATATGCATATTCAATAAAAAATTATCCTTGACCTACTAAAGGAAGAGCCTATAACACAATAATATAAAGTAACTCAAAACACATAGTTAATTGCCAAAATTTAAATTATAAAAACAGTCAATACGCAATGAGCAAAATACAGTTTAGTATCATATATCTGGGGTAATTTCTTCTCTTAGATTACTTCAAGTACCTATCTTTCGAAAATCGTACTGTAATGCATTTCAGCCAAACAAAAGGAAGTAGATGATGACTTCAAGTGAAGAAGATGAAGAAGATTCTTCTCAAATAATATACCATATGGATCACAAACAAGCAAGATCATTGATAAACTACTTTATAGAATAAAATCTATCCAGATGTAAAGAGAAATTGAAGGACAGACCAAGAGGCCTTTCAGTCAAGTTATAGTTCCATTGCATAGAACATTTACAGTTTTATACAGGATTATCAGAAAAAGGTAACAAAATAATTAATACCAAAAGAAAAGGACAATAATTAAGATTAAAATAAAATGAATAATTTACTTAGACACCAACACAAACATGCAATTCGGCAGCACGGATCAAAAATTTCACTCAGCCTAATTGTAGGATTTGCAGAGGAATACCCCTAAAAACATAAGCTCAGAACAGTAAATAGATTCATAAAATAAATAAACCAAACTACTTCGATAGAACCACCGCCTAGATCGACATAATTGCAAAATTAAAGTTATAATGTGGTGCAAAAATTCGACCTTTGACAAGAATTCGACTCCTGCGCAGGGACGGATGGCTGGTGCAACAGTTGTTGAAAATTCGACGACGAAGACGAGGGCGCTGTAGCAGCGGCGGCAGAAGCGTAACTATCGGGCCAAACCGCCGACGACCTCATATATAAGACGCAACCCACGATCCGATCGAAGAATTCAACAAGGAAGTCGACTCAATTCAATAAAACTCGAATTCATGGCATCGGCCGATTTCATAGGAAACGACTTAAAATCTGGGGCTCATAGGGGGAATGGAGGTAGATGTCCCCGAACTGGCCCTGGATTCGGAAGAATTTTCGGGGCGAGCGCGAAGGAGGCGGACGCAAGCAAGGAAGCAAGCAGGAGCAGGGTGGGATTTGCAAAATCGCCGACCGAAGCAGAGGGGGCACGCGACTCTGTAGGTAAAGGACGGGAGAAATTGTAGATAGCCAACCTGCCCAGCCGATGACGACGATGATGAGATATATAGCTGACTCTGATTTGCCTCAAGGGGTGTGATAATTTACCATCTTGACCTCAAGGGCCGGATCCGGTCTACGCCGCTCAAAACCTAACTCTAACTTACCCTTTTTTTTCTTTTTTAACTCGTAACTCTAATTTGCGGGGGGGCGGCCTTTTCTGTTCTCTGACTCGATCATGTGTTCCCGACAAGAAAGACTTATTGTGTTTGATTTGGAAAAATTAGCCCATAATGGCTATATAATGTGTTTTTAATTGATATATTACATTTATATTATATTAATATAAATGATATACTAGTAATATCATATAATATTATTATTAGCACATTTCGTATTATTTAACAAAATGTTGAATTTTAACTTAGTTTGTAGCCACCGTTATATGACTTGCTTTTCATCAACACCTAGTTGATACACACAGTCATGTCCATTAATGATGTATTTGGCCCGGCCCTATGTCAAGGAAAAAACGAAATATTTGCCAAGAATCCAAACTTTAAAGGGGCTGGTTTTCTAATATTTATTGCACATATGTATATAATAATATATATAAGATTGTGTTTAATTATAATACTTAAATGATTTCAATTGATTACATAATTAATATATTAATTAATATAATATTTTTAATTAAATATTAAATAAAATTATATTATATTTTGTTTATTTGATTATATGGCATGATTTTTTTTTATCCAAAATACTCTTTATAATTTTATTATAATTATAATATATTTTATTTTATCGCTAAATTATAAATAAGTGTTAACAATATCTTTTATATCATTTATTAAGGATGATTAAATAATAGTAGGAATTAGATTGAAATAATAATTCTACAAATTATTATTATTTATTTATTTATATAGTACTCGAATACATTAAAATAAATATGAATTAGGTTGGATAAAATAATATTATTAATCATAATCTTGTATAGTAAATATACACATTATATTACTTCCTTCTTTCGGTTTAGTGTAGATACGAAAATTTAGACAAAGTAGAATCAGTAAGTAATTAAAAAGTGTTTTAGTAAAAATAATTATTGTATAATAAAACTAATTATACCTTAAGATTAAGATAACTAAATAGTATAATTAAGATTTAAAAAATTATAAATTATAAAATTTAAAATGTGATTAAAGTGTATAATCATAATTTTTTAAGAATAAAAGGACAAATAAGGTGACTACGAAGATAAAAATAGTAGACAAAAAATGTGGGATTGAGGGAGTATTATTTACTAAAAAATAAATTTTGTAGAGTATAATTTATATTAGATTATAAATGATATTTTGAGTAAAAAAAAAAAAAAAAAGAATAATCATATCCTATAATCAATAAACACAATATAATATAAATTTAATATTTAATTAAACAAAAAAATATTGTATTAATTAATTGATTGATTATATAATCTATTACAATAATTCTATATATTATCCTTCAAATTAAATACACCTTGTGAGTTTGTTCACTTTGTATTTTTCATAGATATATTATTTGTGTTAGGTACGAAAATTTTGTAAAAATAATATTTTATATTGAATTGTTGATCTTTTATAAGTGGGGTAATTTATATATTAAATATATTGTGTTAAGATGTGTATGTTATAATTTTTAATACGTGAACAAACCCACTAATATATTAAAATTGAGTTGTGATATTATCATGATATATTGTTATTGTTGAAAATTAACATCGACGGCTTGATTGATTTGGGCCTGTCGGTATTGATATCTAATCAGGTTCTCCGGCCTACTCAAGAAAGGATTCAGCCTAATCTCACAATTGATTATTGAACCGCAATACCTCCGAACAAAAATACTCGCAGAACGATGACCCGATGATAGACCAAATTCGGTGCGAATCGAATTGACAAGTATTGCAATATGGGAATCAAAGTAGACGAAAGGAAAAGTAAATGGAAAGTATGAAGCTGAATTGAAAATTAGGATTGAAAATTACTTGGATTTAAACGTCTAAAAAAATAGAACATGAATTTAATCTAATAAGCATAAATAAATGAAAGCAAAAAATAAAAAAAGAAGAAATTATTTGGGTATTGGACGGATCATCTAGATATATATATATCCTATGAATTAAGAAAATTCTCACTTTATCCACTCCTCTATTATTTTTCCAAAATTTTGTCTATAATTCTATCATCTTCTTTTCAACTTTCCATTTCTTCAGAAAACTTTTGACTCACTCATTTATTATCTCATTCATCTAAATTAAGTTTGTCCTTATTCGTACAAAAATTTGTACTGGATTGAAACTTTTTAGGCCCGCCCATCCACTCCTTAAAACTAGGCTGCTAATCACTTCCGGAGGCCCGAAAATATTTGGAAGTAACAAATGCTCCCTTCCCCCCAAAATATTTGGCTAAAAAAATTGTCGAACTTTGAAGCCCAATATTTTTGTATGATATTTCAGTGGTATGGCTCGGGCTTCATAAGATACTTTCATTACAGCAGGTCCCTATGCTCGGAACTGGTTCCTCTATCCTCCATTTTCATGCGGCCTTTTTTTTTTTAACTTAGACAAAAATTCCGGATTGGATCATCATGGGAGCTGCTTGGAAAGCCTGAACGATGGCTTTATGGGTAGCCGATATTCCACCAAACTCTTGGATAAGTCCGGCATCTCATGGTGATCCCATGCAAAGCAGTCTTGGTATTCGCAGATCAAAGTTGTTAGTAGTTTTTTATGTTCCATAGGTAACAATGAGCTAATCCGCATCATTTGGGAGTAGTAACGAACTGTTCTGCGTCATCCAAGGGGCTGACTCGTCACCAAAGTTGATTTCTTCAACAGAATCTTGAGCCTCAAACGATGAGTTCCTTTTTGGGGTGAATTCTCCTTGGTTATATCCACCTTTTGGGGCTAATCAATTCCGTCTAGTGGATCAGACGCCGATAGCGGTTATCGGAGCCGGAAATAGTTTCGTATCGATCTTCATCTCCGGCTTGTCAGCTAGCCATAGATGGTCTTCCTTAATAGCTTTTTGTACCATATTTCTGAAAGCGATACAACTTCTGACTTGATGTCTATACAAACTGTGCCACTTATACTAAGACTTTTCATTCAGTTCCTCTTTGGATGACATCTTATGGCCCTCTTTGAACCGGAGCTAATTATCTTTCAACAAAACATAAAAAATTTGTTTGGTTTTAGAGATATCAAACATATATTGTACCTTACAATTTGTTTCCTTCCTCCTAGGTATTTGCAACGGTGGGCAAGTGTATGCTTTCTTTGTGAGATCTCGATTGAAAACATCTTCTCCGGGTCATCCGAACAGTCTGACTCCTCCTGGACCTAGACAAGGTGTGCACCGTTTTTGAACTTCTGATTTCTGGCAGCATGGGCGTCTTGGAGGAGTTTTTCCACTTTTACTGCTTTTGCGGTGAGCTACCGAAGATCGTTGTATTTTTGGAAGATCAGATTTTCTCGGAGTTGGTGTGTAATATTGTCGATGGCCCTATGGGCAACTTGTTTTTCAGGAATCCAGACCTAACATTGTCCCTCTGCTCTGTGGAACCTTCCCAAAAAAATGCTCCACTAGCTCATTGTGTTTTTATCGTATGTTAGTCAAATTCTATACCGTCATCTCCAACAATGAACTATGAAACTGCTCATGGAACACCCTTTCGAGACCCATCCATGTGTGGAATGAATTTGACGGAAAATACACATACCATGTGAATATCGGCCCAGTAAGGGACAACAAAAATATTTGAAGCTTAAACCACTCATTCTTTTCTAATTTTCCTCCGTATTGTGCCATAAACCGATTGATATGCTTGATGGTGGAGCATGAATCACCTTCCGAAAATAGTGTGAATTCCGGAATCCGGATGCTCCGGGGAAGATGATAGTCGATGGTGACCTGATCCGAAAAAGGCCGTTGATAATGCAGTCTAGTTAGCACCTAGATAGGATCGTCATACAACCTTCGGACTGCCTCTTTGATGGCCTGCGGGTTGATGATCGGCCGCAGCGGGAGAGCAATCTTAGCATGTCCTCAGTGCTGTCCCAGACCTGGCTGAGCACGGGAGAAGGGTTATTGATACCTCCGTGGGAGGTGTGCCGAATGAGGAGAGCGTGCTTGATTCCCCTCATGAGGCACTCTTTGTGGTATTGTCGGTGGAGGGGCAAAGTTCCTGAATTGGACCGGAGTCTCATAATACGAGAATCCATATCCGCGTGGTTGTAAGGCTAGTCCGGTCGAGGAATTTTTTGGGTATGCTGTCAGGCACCCCCTAGGTGGAGGCGGCATAGCCGAAGCTAGTAGACCAGCGACCCACGCAACCACTACTGATGATGGAACTGCGCCCCATGGGTGCGTAGGTGACGGGACTGTCTCCCAGGATGTGTTCGGAGAAGGAGCGGATGACACGACCACACTTACATTATGCTACTAACACCAATTCACATATAAGAAAACGATAAACATGCTGTAATCCCTTTTAATTACTTACATATATAACAACCTATTAACATGCTATATATATATTTTTTCTCAACAAAACATAACATAACTCAACAGTAACCTATTAACATTCACCAAAAGGATCTCAAACCATATCAAAAACTACGCAATCAACATACTATTTATAACAACACTAGCCAACTTCTAAAACAGACGTAATATAGAACAACGGAAGCAAAACAAGCCACGGTCCTGCCCGCAGGTCGTCATCTATATACACGGTAACTCAAAATGCCTGTAAGCGAGCCACGGCTACTCCAGTCTGACCATCACGTCATATATCATCAGGATTTCCTACAATGCATAAACTGAGTGAGATTTATAAATCTCCGTAAGTAGAAATTATGTATGATGTGAAGTTTATCTCAAAATTCTCAATATGCAGAATGTGCTCTCGTTTAAAATCACCAATTTATTTATGAAATACTCTTCAGGGCCCCTAGACACACTGCTATACACCGGAAAGAGCTCAATATCCACATATTCAAATCAAATGGTGGCCTACACTAGGTAGCCTACACCGGGTTTCCTCGCAAGGTTTCCCCGGGTCGCTTCTTCTCAGGTCGCCTCTTCCGAATGCATTGTTTAAGCATTGTATGTAAAGTCACAATAGACGGTGGCCTACACCAGGTAACCTACACCAGGTTTCCCCAGGTCGCTTCTTCCTAGGTCGCCTCTCCCGCCCTCGGTGTATAATCAACGGTCTAACACAGTAAAACCATCTTATTTTATTTCAATACATGATATGCATGCTTAATGAAAATGCAATTCAACATATTTCATAATATACAAATATTATTGAACTCACTGGTTCAAACCACATCAATTTTGGAGCTCACAGACTCCTTCAAGATCAAATATAGAGTTCACAGGCTCAATCATATCATATACAGAACTCACAGGCTCAAACCAATTTATATACGGAGCTCACAGGCTCAAACCACATAATCACAGAATATTAATCACATATTACAATTTTATGATATTCACATATTATCAATCAAACATAAATAACTCACAAAATAATATATTTATGCATTGTAGTTGCAAATGAATATCTACTTACCTGAAATTCGCCAAAAACGTCAATAACTCTAACTCTTAAAGCCCTTTTCACGATTCCAGTATCGTATCTAATAATAATTAATTACAAATATTACCCAAATTTACTAAATAATTATTCCTACTCAAAACTTCCTCTACTTAGTAAAAATAGTAATAATTCGTGAACACAATGAAATACCTGAACTAGACTTTTAACGAATTCGGCATAAATTTTTTCTTTCTTCTTCGCGTTGCCTCTGCCTCTCTTTTGCAATTGTGAAAAATGATTTGTTAAAGGTGGTGGGGTGAGGATTATTACCCCCCCCCCACTGCCTTAAAATATATATTATTATATATTATTATTATTACTATTTTATTTATTTATTTAATTATTCTATTTATTTTACATTTTATTTAATTACTACAATAAATTTTCAAGTGATCTATATGTAACTTACACCACTACTATCCAACTAATTTACCCAATCTATTTGTATCCTACTAGACTCTCATATAAATTATGATAATATTTTCTTATTAATAAACAGGTAAGACATATACCAAATTATAAACAATTAACATTCAATAGTAAAATAAATAACCTAACATCACTAGTGACATATAAATAATATAAAGTGCACTCAAAGCATGAAACTAATTATAAATTAACACATAAATTATATAAATAGAACATAAAATTAAACAATTAATACTCAAGTAAACTAATATATGCAACTCATGAAGTATATTTAAACTACCATAAATAAACATATAAGTAATTTACCAGCACCTAAAATATGAAATATATATTGGCCAATGAGTAGTGAGAAACTCGGGTATCACATCCTCCCTTCCTTATAAAAATTTCATCCTCGAAATTTAACTTACATGAAGAGTTCTGGGTACTTAGATCTCATTTCATCCTCTCTTTCCCAAGTAGCTTCTTCTACTGACTGATTTCTTCATAGTACTTTGACTAATGAAATCTCTTTATTTCTAAGTTGTTTCACTTCTCTCATGAGAATTTCTATTGGAACTTCTTCATAACTCAGATCTTATTTTAGCTCTGTAGGTTCACTTTTAAAAACATGTGATAGATTTACTATGTACTTCCTTAATGCTGATACATGAAACACATTGTGTATTTGAGACATGGATGTAGGCAAATCATGCCTGTAGGCCACTTCACCAATCCTTTAAGTTATGGAGAATGGACCCACGTATCTTGGACTAAGCTTTCCTTTCTTTCCGAACCGCATTACCCCTTTCATTGGAGAAACTTTTAGAAATACCTAATCACCCACTTCAAACTCTAGCTTTATTCTTCTTTTATCAGCATAACTCTTTTGTCGGCTTTGAGCAGCTTTCATTCCTTCCCGAATTTGTACTACAGTTTCACTCATTTCTCGAATCAAATCTGGACCCAAAAGTTTTCGTTCCCCAACTTCATCCCAATGTACTGGAGATCGACACTTTCTACCATACAGTGCTTTATATGGTGCCATTGCGATAGTAGACTGATAACTGTTATTGTAAGAAAACTCAATCAAAGCCAAGAATTTGCTCCACTGACCTTGGAAAATCTAACACACATGCTCTGACATATCTTCCAGAATTTGTATCGTTCTCTCTAACTGTCCATCTGTTTGTGGATGGTACGCAGTGCTGAAAGATAACTGAGTCCCAAATGCTTTATGCAAACTCCTCCAGAAATTAGATAAAAATCTAGAGTCTCTGTCTGAAATGATATGAGGGGTACACCGTGAAGTCTAACAATTTCTTGTATATATATCTGACATAACGGTCCATAGAATATGTAGTGCAGGTCGGTAGAAAATGAGCTGATTTAGTCAATCTATCAACAATTACCCAGACTGCATCATAACCCTTGACTGTCTTGGGAAACCCTCTAACAAAATCCATTGTAATATTCTCCCATTTCCACTCTAGAATAAATAAGGGCTGTAAAGTTCCTACTGGTCTCTGATGTTCTGTTTTGACCTGCTGATAAGTCAAACATTGTTCTACATATCGAGCAATGTCCCTTTTCATACCTGGCCACCAATAATGCAATTTCAAGTCCCTATACATTTTAGTGGCTCTTGGATGTACGGAATAAGGTGTCAAATGTGCTTCAGCCATTATATCTTCACGAATTTTATCAGTATCTGGGACATATAACCGGTTCCTGTATAGGAGTACGTCATTCTCTATTAACTGGAAATCAGAGGGTTCACCTAAAGTGATATCTTTCTTCACCTTAGCAGAGTACTCGCCATGTTGTTATCCTGTGTGAATTCGATCTAGCAATGTCGGTCTAAGTGTTACAGCTGCAAGTTTTGGTGTTACAAGTCCAGGTTCAATAAGTTTGATGTTCATCCTCTGTAGGTCAAGGAGTTCAGGTTTCTGAATTAAAGTCATAGCTGTCACTCTTTCTACTAATTTTCGACTCAATGTGTCTGCCACAACATTAGCTTTACCAGGATGATAGTTGATCACACAATCATAATCTTTCACAAGTTCTAACCATCTTCGTTGTCTCATATTCAATTCTTTCCGAGTGAAGAAATATTTTAGACTCTTGTAATCGGCATAGATCTCGCAACGTTCACCGTACAAGTAATATCTCCAGATTTTGAGCGCAAACACCACGGCTGCTAACTCCAGATCATGTGTAGGGTAGTTCTTTTCGTACTCTTTCAACTGTCGAGAGGCATAAGCGATGACTTTATCGTTCTGCATCAATACACACCCGAGACCATTCTTCGAAGCATCATTGTAAACTTTGAAACCTCCAGTCCCGGTTGGGATTGCTAAGATAGGAGCTGATGTCAATCGTCTATTCAATTCTTAAAAGCTTTGTTCACATGATTCTGTCCATTTATATATCACATTCTTCCTGGTCAATTGTGTCAAAGGAGAAGCAATTTTAGAGAAGCCTTCCACAAATCTACGGTAATATCCTGCCAGTCCGAGAAAACTACGCACTTCTGATGGATTTGTAGGTTGTGGCCAGTTATTAATGGCTTCATCTTTGCTTAGGTCAACTAACATTCCTGCTCCCGATATCACATGTCCCAAGAATACAACTCGATCTACCCAAAATTCACATTTCTTGAACTTTGCATGCAACTATTTCTCTTTCAGAACTTCTAGCACATTCCTCAGATGCATCGCATGCTCTTCTTCAGTCTTGGAATAAATCAAAATATCGTCAATAAATACAATGACAAACTTGTCCAAAAAGTCTTTGAACACCCGATTCATCAAATCCATGAACGCTGCCGGGGCATTTGTCAGTCCAAATGGCATTATTAGAAATTCATAGTACCCGTATCTCGTACTGAATGTTGTTTTGGGAATGTCTTCAGCCTTTATCTTCAATTGATGATACCCAGATCGCAAATCAATCTTCAAAAAGATAGTCGCACCTTATAGCTGATCGAACAAATCATCGATTCGGGGTAAAGGATATTTATTCCTGATTGTGATTTTGTTCAATTCTCGGTAATCGATACACATCGTCAATGTTCCGTCTTTCTTTCAAACAAACAAGACTGGTGCTCCCCAAGGTGAGAAACTAGAACAAATGAAACCTTTATCTAGTAGTTCTTGCTGTTGTACTTTAAGTTCTTTCAATTCATTCGGCGCCATTCGATATGGTGATTTAAAAATAGATGACACTCCAGGTTGTAGCTCAATCACAAATTCAATTTCACGATCTGGTGGTAGCCTGGAAGATCATCTGGAAATACCTCAGGATATTCTCGCACTACTGGCACATCACCAACAGTAGGACACTGTTTCCCCTCGACACCCATCACACTTATCAAATAGCCTTCACAACCATTTTCAGTAATCTTTGTGCCTTAACAGCTGAGATTATAGGAAATTTGAAACGCTTCTTCATCCCGATAAAAAGAAAATGGTTCTTCACCCTCACACTGAAATACAATATTCTTTTTCTGACAGTCGATTGTAGCACCATATTTCGATAACCAATCCATACCCAATATCACATCATAATCATTCATGTCCAGCACGATCAAATCAGCATATAATTCTCTACCTTTTATAGGAATAAAACATCATCGCAGAATCTGATTCGTTTGTTTTGTATCACCGGAAGGAATCGTCACATCTAATTTAGCCTCAATTAAGTTAGGTGTTCTACCCAGTTTTCTCACATACTCATTGGATGCAAACGAATGTGTAGCCCCAGAATCAAATAACACATAAGTCAAAGTACCGAAGATAGAAAGCTTACCGGTGACAACTGGATTTTCTTCTGCATCTTGCTTTGTCATCGTAAAAACTCACGCTGGTACTCTCCCTTGGTCCTTTTGTGCTCTCGGACACATAAAGTCATATGTCCCCTTTGTCCACAAGAAAAACAAGTTTTCGGTTCGTTACGACAAATCCCAAAATATGGTTTACCACAATTTCGACACAGAGGCCGTGGTGGTGGCGGCGGTAGTGGTACTCCTCTTTGCTCCACCCTGGGACGTTTATCTGGTCCTCCTTGTTCAGGTCTCTGTCCTTTTCGGGGTTCGAATGGTCGTGATGATTGAGGTTTCCATACCCTTTTTCTATTATTTCCACCCCACTGTGGTGCTTGCCGCTGCTGAAAATGACGTCTCATGTCTTGTGCATGTTTTATTCGTATCTCAGCTTGTTCAGCAGTTTGTGCTCTCTCTGCAACTTGTGCATAAGTCATTCCTTGAGTTCCCACCATACTCACATCTCTATAAAGCTCAGGCCTCAAGCCTTCAAGGAATCTCTCCACTTTTAATGCTCCAGTACTGACCATGTGTTCCGCAAACCTAGAAACTGCTCAAATTTACAGAGGTAGTCTGTAACAGTCATGGTTCCCTGTTTCAACTGTATGAATTCATTCATCTTCATGATTCTGACTGGAGCAGTGAAGTATTTATTTCTGAAAATCTCCTTGAACCTCTCCAGGTCATTACAGCAACATCTTCGATACTTTTGACTGTGTCCCACCAGTGTCCCGCACTACCATGTAACATGAAGGAAGCACACAAAACCTTCTATGTATCTATAATTCTGCTATATTGGAACATATTGTTTAAAAGTTCTCAACCACTCTTCAGCAGCCAAAGGATCGGTAGCATCTTCAAAGATTGGTGGATTCAATTGACGGAATCGCTCGCACCCCAACTCAACAGGCTCTTTCGCGGTTGTGGTTGATTCACATCAGTACGTTGGTTGTCCGCATTTCTTTGTTCAATAAGCTGTTAAATCTGTTGTGCCTGGCGTTCAACTAAGTCTGTCAGCCGAGCCATAACAACATCCCGATCAATACCAGCAACGGTGTTGTCTGCTCAGGCGTTCTTTCCATACCACTACTTTCACCCTGTTCTCTCACCATATCTATTCAACAATACCACTCGTCCGGTGCCACATGGCCAATATAATTCATAGTACATATAATGTAGGAACAAGGAATAACTTGACTCTAGCCTACTATACATGTACCCGATTCGTTTCACATTCGTATTATTCACAGTATACCATATATAAGATAATTAAAACTGCTTCTATCCAAACTTTAAACACATACCTAAACTCAGAAGTACCATGATTACCACACATGTATTGTACCTCAAAACACATGCACAATCACACATGTTCACGAGCACACACTGCTGCAGTCAGCGGCTCAATGGCGGCGATCAAACAATAGCATTTTAGTAACAGTAGCATTATGTAGAAGTACGGTAGTAGGAATCATTTTACTACATATCATCTTCATTAATTTTGAAACACAGAAGAGCACATAACATGGAAACCAATCGCCATTCATTATAAAATTATTTAATAACCAACAATTCATTATCAAGGGAAGTCTAAAGTCAATATAATTCATGATACACAAATATAAACAAAACTTAAATAAACACTTACTGGGTGTAGCCGAGCTCTCTCTCAAGTTCTGAGTTTGTGTACATAGACAGTCTACATGAAGCTAACCGTGCTCCGATACCACTCTGACACGACCACACTTACACTATGCTACTAACACCAATTCACATATAAGAAAATAATAAACATGCTATAATCACTCTTAATTACATATATATATAACAACCTGTTAACCTGCTATATATATCTATTTTTTTCTCAGTAAAACATAACATAACTCAACAGTAACCTGTTAAAATTCACCAAAAGGACCTCAAACCATATCAAAAATTACGAAATCAACATACTATTTATAACAACACCATCAAACTTCTAAAACATACGTAATATAGAACAACGGAAGCAAAACAAGCCACGGTCCTGCCCGAAGGTCGTCATCTATGTACACGGTAACTCAAAATGCCTATAAAAGCGCCACGGCTATTCCAGTCTGACCATCACATCATATATCATCAGGATTACCTACAATGCATAAACTGAGTGAGATTTATAAATCTCCGTAAGTAGAAATTATGTATGATGTGAAGTTTATCTCAAAATTCTCAATATGCATAATGTGCTCTCGTTTGAAATCACCAATTTATTTATGAAATACTCTCCAGGGCCCTTAGACATACTGCTATACACCAGAAAGAGCTCAATATCCACATATTCAAATCAAACAGTGGCCTACACTAGGTAGCCTACACCGGGTTTCCTCGCAAGGTTTCCCCGGGTCGCTTCTTCTCATATCGCCTCTTCCGAATGCATTGTTTAAGCATTGTATGTAAAGTCACAATAGACGGTGGCCTACACTAGGTAGCCTACACCAGGTTTCCCCTGGTCGCCTCTCCCGCCCTCGGTGTATAATCAGCGGTCTAACATAGTAAAACCATCTTATTTTATTTCAATGCATGATATGCATGCTTAATGAAAATGCAATTCAACATATTTCACAATATACAAATATTATTGAACTCACTGGTTCAAACCACATCAATTTTGGAGCTCACAGACTCCTTCAACATCAAATATAGAGTTCACATGCTCAACCATATCATATACAGAGCTCACAGGCTCAAACCAATTTATATACGGAGCTCGCAGGTTCAAACCAATTTATATACGGAGCTCGCAGGCTCAAACCACATAATCACAGAATATTAATCACATATTACGGTTTTCTAATATTCACATATTACCTGAACTAGGGTTTTAACGAATTCGGCGTATTTTTTTTTCTTTTTTCGTTTTCTTCTTCGCGTTGCCTCTACCTCTCTTCTGCAATTGTGAAAAATGATTTGTTTGAGGTGGTGGGGTGAGGATTATTACCCCCCCCACCACCTTAAAATAT